AGCAATAGCGAAAAAACTATCGATCGATTATCGACCCAATACTTAACATTTTTTTAAAGATTTTTAAACAGTTAAAGTACAAAATGCTGCCATGAATAATAGGACATAACTAAAAATATATAAACTTTAGAAGCAGAATATGTTTATTTAATGAATAAATCATTTTTATTAAATTATATTTTGACAGAATACGATGTTGATGTCATAAATTAAAATAAGGAAAGTAGAAATTTAAACTAAACTAGATATTTTAATTCGAAATAGTCTTTGAACATCGACTTTGTGGGTCAATCACCGATTGTTTTATACTAATAAATTCTTTTATACTTCACATTGCATAGAAGTGGATAAATAGGACTGCCTCGTTGGCCGAGTGGTCGCAAATGCGACTGCCGGGCAGGGATCTTGGGTTCGAATTCCGGGTCGGGCAAAGTAATACAGGATTTTTTTTAAAATCTCAATTTTAGCACGGAGTTTAGAGGTATATAGGTTCACCCTCTATTACATGGGACTCATAACATAAATAGTGACAGTGGGTGTTACGTTGTACAGTGGCATTAAGTGCCGTAATGTGCACCTCTGCCTACCACTTCGGGGATAAAAGGCGTGATGTTATATTATGGATAGAAAGGCAAGAAATATATAAACAGGAAACCTATACACTATAAACTATAACATTCTTAATATTATGTTATAAAAAACAATCCATCTCAACCTTACCCGACTATTTGCAGTAACTATAGATGCATCGATCTCTCAGTAGGATATCGATTGTACACCTAATGCCGTAATAATCGGTTACCCTACAAAATTAACGCCTTGCGTTCACCGATTCTTTGCCACACCTCTACTCGGTAACCTGTCATTAACCCATTAACTTTGACAGGCTACTTAAAAGTCCTATAATTATTTTTTAAAACCACATGCGTGGAGGTTGTATTAAAAAAAGTATGTATAATGGATTTTCAGTGGTTCGAATTTAGATAATTGTCGAAATATTGATTCGATTTGAACAGATGTCGGTCATAAGGTGTTGGGGAAATTAGAGCTATTATGTTAGGAAGTCGGTAGTCATCTTCGTGTGTGAATATTTTGGCTGTGTAGATAATTGAGGATTATCTTTTAATTTTTTTTATGTTCACCGAGTGGAGTTACCATAGTCTAGCCGAGTGGTTGCACCAACAACTTATCGTGCTTAAACTGTCAAACACCAAGCGGTCACCGGTGACCGCAACCTATTGTTCTATAATTGTGTCTACAAAACCGGTACTCGACGAGTTAATAGACTTTGGCAACTTTAGAGACATTGACAACTTTAGACTTTGGCCTCTCTTTAGTTTGGCAGATAGTATCTCGGTTTATTAAAAACTAGCTTTTGCGTGAAACTTCGTACGCGCAATCCCGTTTATTCCCGTTCCCGTTAGTGAGTTTCGGTAAAAACTAAATAAAAAAAAAATGATTAGATGAAAAACATCCTATGTCCGTCGCCTGGTCCTAAGCTACCTCCCCACCAATTGTCATCCACTTTCTTTTATACATATATATTCTTACAATTCTTATGTGACATCGATGAAATCAGCAAAAGCTAGTACTGTAGTTTAATTACCAACATGTGGCACTTGTCTATCAACGGTAGTTAATTTTCAAGTGCTCTGTAAAGATGTCTTCATGAATTTTTTAAGAAAATCTCAATGCTATGTATGCCTTCTGTGTTCATACGTTCATACATACAAACAGACATACCCAGACAAATACACATACGATTACGCAAAGAAAAACATATTTGATCGGCAATCCCGGACATATGACGAGCGTGATGGAGCTGCCATTTAATGATGTTCGAATGATCTGTACGTCACGTTACTGCCTACCTACTAACGATCATCCGTAACATGGTACCGATAGTCCGTAATGATATGGTATAACATCATGGCTGATGTTTCCTGAAGAGGCATACAGTGATGCATACAGCTAATCAAAAGTTAAAAAAAAAGTAAATCGGCAAACGAGCTAACGTTTCACCTGATGGCAAGCATTTGACGCCGCCTATGGATACCCGAAACACCAGTGGCGTTACAAGTGCGTTGCCGACTCTGTGGGGATTAGGATTTGAGAATTGTTGGGTATTCGGGGATTGGGGAGATAAAAAGGTAGTTGAGCCTGCGATAACCTCAATCACACGACGAAATACAACGCAAGCGTTGTTTCACGTCGGTTTTCTGTGGTATAACTCCAATGAAATTGGACTGCATTGTGAATGCGTTAACAAACATAACACATTTCACACTCAGATTCGGCAGAATAATTCCATCCTTTATTGTGCGAATTGTACCAGCAAAAAGGTTTAGTAGCTGGTTAACATTTTAACACTAAAGCACAGCTAAAGCGTTAAAAATTTTTTAAGGGGGTACAATCATCGAATGACTTCTCCCGCCTGGATGAGGCAGAAGGGAGTGTCAGACTCTTACAGACTATAAACCACCCCGTTCCTACTCCTGCACTTCCAACCGAAGCCCCGGTAACCCGTTAGGTTCTCCGCGGCAAAGCGTTAACATTGCAGTCAAAACCTATAAAAATACAATACAATAAATATCAAAGTCGTACGTACCAAATCTTATCATCCCTATCGTAAAACACGAACTTTATTAGTGTAGGAATTTTCATTACACCTTTATGAGTAGACTACTCGAATAATCGACTAATATCAGTTTATATGAAAGACCGTGCGAACAGCCACATGTGAACATTAATGACTAAGCTTAGCGCGTTGGATTTGCTCATTAGACGACTAAAGTGTCGATGTATCAGATTCGATTCGACCAAAGGCCCCCCACTATCGGGTTTAATCTTCGCAGTGGTGTGAGAGGTCGGGGTTTATTAAACGATACATTTTTATCTAGTTTTTTTTTTTAATAATTGTTGCTGGTCAAAAATGGGTTTTTACGATTTTCCGTTTTCGAATTCTCTTGTTAACAAGTTTAACGCCGGCCGTCACCGGTGACGGCTTTAGAGGAGTTGCCTTCAACGGTTTCAGAATCTGTTCAGAACTTAACACCTGTTGTTTCCCAAAGGGATAAGCAGATGTGTTCTTACTTACTCTTCACATTTACAACATTACATCACGCCTTTCTTACCCGAAGGGGTAGACAGAGGTGCTTAATGCCACTGTACAATGTAACACCCACTATTCACTGTTTATGTTATAAGTCCCATGTAATGTGAGCCTTTTGCCATATACCGGGCGCAATTCCAGACTCCGTGCTACAACTGAGGTTTTAAAAAACCCAGTAATACTTTGCCCAACCCGGGAATCGAACCTCCTTGTCCGGCAGTCGCACTGGTGATCACTCGGCCAATGAGGCTGTCAGCACAATTCTATATATCAATCCACCAATCAAACCTTACTCCACAGGACTTTATATTCAACACTAGAGATTCAAACCCCGACCAATAATCCGGTAGAACAGTTTCCACAATCAAACGACCGTACAACAAAAACAAACTTTCACACTATAAGCTGCGTGTGCGCATAAATGATATTTCTTAGTAATGGCCGCGCATCACCGGCCGTAGTTATTATATCGTCATTACAGGCTGCGCTTACGTTTCCTTGACAACGCAATCTGTATTAACTGTTCTACTGTAGTTCCGTTTTCATTTTTGTTTACAACTGTTCCTTACTGTTTATGATATAAGATATATTTTAATAATTGTTGAATAATGAAAAACATATATAACTACATAAATATTTACAACCTTAAATTAACTACAACTAAACTATTAAATAAAACGAAAGTAAAAAGAAGAAAACAACAAAAATTATATACCCTTAATTTAGGCGTCAAAGTATTCGTCCGCATCACTATCACAGGGGAACGTTCCCAGAAGACTGGCAGCATTGCCACGTTGAATAGCAATGCTTATTTTCTGTCCGATGAAAAAGCCAGCCCTCTGGTCACGTGCTGAGTCGATTAGCCTACGGGCGATATCTTTAAAAACAGAGTGTGCACTGGGACCCAATGGCCCAAGCGTTTCGACCCCAAACGGCTCAAAACAGTAGTTACCTACTAGATTTGAATATTTACGTCATTTGAGGGCCTCTGTCGCATTTGATATAAGTATTAATAAAGGTACATTGTGTATCGCCGTTCGTAGTTACGTCCTATATGAATTACACGTTAACACGTTGGATGGCGTGTCGGACAATGATGACCGACGCCAGCGAAGGATTAGCCTTTAACAGTTTTTGTCAGTAGTTAATTACTGTCAAACACCAAGCGGTCACCGGTGACCGCAACCTATTGTTCTATAATTGTGTCTACAAAACCGGTACTCGACGAGTTAAAGGCTTAATATTATAAATGTGAAAGTTTCTTTGTTCGGGTATTTGTCCGTCACTCCAGCTGAAACCACTGAACGGATTTCGATGAAATTTGGCAAACAGGCAGGGTATGGGCTGACTTAGGTGATAGAATATTTTTATTACGATTAAATGCTCCCATGTGATAAAGCAGGAATCATATTCTACGCGAACGAATTTGCGGGCAACAGCTAGTTTAATTATAAGTATATGAGAACCTGATTGAAAAACTTTTATTGTAAACCTGAACAAAAACCCAATCGCTGACTAATTTGGTTTCATTTATAACTAAAAAAAATATATTTATCAATAAATAAACATTTTTTTTCTTATTTATTTATTTATTTAATGCTAACAACTACCATTACAGACTAATCCAATACGATAGTGTGGCCATCAGTGTTACAAATACTTACTTATTTCAGTATTTACTTATTATCTAATTATATTAAATTATACTTATACTTGTAAACGTAGGTACCGCTTGTAACGCCTCTAGTGTTCCAGGTATCAATGGGCGATCCGTCTGCTCGTTTATCGGCTTATGCCATAAAAAAAACGTTGCAAACTTCCTGAAAACACCATATCTTATAAAATACCTCCTTTCAAACAAGCATTAACAACAAAATCTTCTTTTCAGCAAGTCGCAACGCCAACAGTCGTGAAAAAGATCCTTCGGTTAAAGCAAGAGAACCCGGGTATGTTCGCGTGGGAGATCCGCGAAAGACTGCTCAGCGCGAGAGTGTGTGAACCTCACTCTATTCCTTCAGTCTCCAGCGTCAACAGGATCTTGAGGAACAGCGGGCTGGCGTGGAGTGATGACGACACTAGGAGTGCTCATGGTAAGGACTTGTTAGATTTATAGTTACACTATCTGTGGCCAAAAGAAAAATGTAAATAATTGCCAGAGGCTGTGTTTTGTGTGTGTATTGTTTGAAGGATATGAAATGATATGATTTTTCTATAGAGATGTTTCTTGTTATTCTTGATAACTATATCAAAATCAAATGAAACAATATCTAAATCCCTAAATAATAATAATTGGTCTCTTTAAAAGGATTAAAATTCTCTTAGATGTAATGGTTATGTTAACTCTTCATTGCTTATTATAGTAACGGTTAACCGTTGACAAACTGGTAGCAGTCCTCTTAAAATTATAATAAATGACACTTTCTACCGTGACCAACCTTTAGCTCCATTTTCCCAGCTACTACGAAACCATTAAAAACTAATAAATCCCAACATTTTCTACCACATAACTATAATAAAAAACTAGACGCATCATCACAGAACCTTATCATTATATTAACACCTCCAAACTAAAAAGATCGTTATTCAAACATCAAATTCAAATAAAGAACGTTTAGAACATAAAATTCAAATAAAAAAACGTTAAACAGACAGCATTTAATGATTAAAAATAAAACGGAATTAACTAATTAATGGCAGATAGGCGTAAATTCTTGGCATCTTCGTGACAGGTGTCAGGAAATGTCTAGCAATTTAATTACACTTAAATCTTGCTTTGGACATATTTAAAAGACATTAAATCCGGTGCGTCTATGTGTAGGAGTATTTTGTTTAACTTTTTTTTATTTAACTACCGATGTCTATGGAGAAATTTTATGTAACTTTACCTGTTTATGTTCTTGTTTATAGCTACAAATCTAACAAAAGTAAACCATATTTTTATTCTTCCTTTAAATCGAATTCAGCAAATATTGCAATGCTATTCAACGTGCAAAATTACACGTGTTTTAAACAAAAGCCTTCTCTTCTTTACAGAGACGTACCCGCAGCCAGATTTACCTCCAAACATGATGGAGTACATGTCAATGAAGACGTCATTGCCACCCACAGCCATGCCATCACAACAGAGCTCCCCATACTTCGCACATTCTGCTGTGAGAGTGCCACCTCCACAACACACGGACCCCACTCTATACGACCGACGATTGGCCACATCATGGCTTCTAGCCAACCAAGTACAAGCACAAGGCCTTTTGAAACCCTACCCAATTAACCCATGGCAAAGAATAATGCTACCCTACCACGACTCGAAAAACTTCTCACCCTATGCTCTAAACCTACACAGCGACCTTCTAAACCGGATAAATCCGGATGAAGTGAAATCGGAAAATTCGGAACATATTTCTGTTGAAGCGAGCGATGATAGCACCGACAGACCTGATGTAGATGACGATCAGAAGTCACAAGAAAAAGAGAAAAAGAAGAATCCGTATTCTATAGAGGAGTTGTTGAAAAAACCGGATAAAATGGTAAATGTTAATCCGATTGGGTTCCAGAACTTTCTACGGCAACCGAGTGGAAGTATGATTGAGAATGGCCAGGATCTGAGCAATAGAAGTTCGCCAGCTAGCTTCTGTTCTGTTCAGAGTGGCATTTCTAATGACTGTTTCTCTGAATCCGCTAGTTCCGAGATTAAAGCGGGAAATTGAGTCTTATGTCAAGTACTAAGTTAATACAATATTTATTCTTGTAAACTTTTATTAGATCATACACACCTACATCAATAAATAATTGCGTATTAAAAAAATAAGGTGCAAAAGGTTCCACTCGTGGATACACAGGTGGACATCGAAATGTTATTTAAACTAATTAGTACTTTAATAAAGTATTGAAACTAACTACTACATACAAATAGCCATTATTAATTCTAATAATCAAATAATTATCAATACTAAAAGACACCGCACTTCAAAAACAATTTTAACATGTCATAACTAGCGCCATCTGTGAATTGGAACTTGAATTTAGAAGTGTTCGTGTACATAATAAAATAAAAAATTGAATGTAAATAAGTTTTGCCATACTATTAAACGCATAGAAATTTGATTTTGTGTCCATACTATGTAGAAATATTAGTTATAGTAACATAGATTTTAACTGTATGTACAATTTATTGTAATAATCCTATAATAAGTATTAAATTATTTTGTTGGTATTAGTATTAAGGTTTTAGTTTATACCTTTATTTTAATATGAGGTGGATTGTCCTTAAGCTATATATTTAACTAGGGACATGCCCCGGCTTAGCACAGGTACAATATGCATGTATTATACATAAATCTTAAGAATCACTCCATCTATTAAAAAAAATCCGCATCAAAATCCGTTGCGTAGTTTTAAAGATCTAAGCATACATAGGGACAGACAGTCTGCGGATAGCGACTTTGTTTTATACTATGTAGTGATAAAATATCGTTTCTTGCAGGTAATTTATAAAAGAAAAATATTTTGATGCGAAACAATAATGATTCCGTATTGAACGTTATTAGACAATTTTAGAAAAAAATTAGAAAAAAGGAGAAATTGAAAAAAGGTCACAAAGAAATAATGTATTTAAATTACTTTTCTTATCATTTTATCAAAAGGGCAATCACCTTTACACCCAATAATAATTACGTACATAATTATTTATAATTATAATTCTGTGATATTCTAGAACTTACCTAATATGTGTATATTAGCTTTATAGATTGCTCTTTGGAAATAATCATTCCTTAATGATAGTTCTTTAGAAGTCAAAATGGATAGACATTGTGTAATATCTTATAATTAATTAATTATACTTAAGCCATAATTAACGTTAAACGGTAAATAAACTAAAGACGGAGCTAATGTCTTGGTAATTATAATAGAGGTATATACCACTTGCGTTATAATTCTGTCATTATATTCTAATTTTGTGATTATATTTTGATTGTATAAAGTTTTTGACATAAAATTTTGATTGATTCATAGGTTTTGGATAATTCAATAATTACTTTTTTTTGAGGGTTGAAAATCATCCAATGACTTCTCCCGTCTTGAATTAGGCGAGAGGGAGTATCAGACTCTTACTGACTAAAAAAACACCCCGTTTCTTTTCCTGCACTTCGAGGCGGAGCCCCGGCAACCCGTTAGGCCTTCCACGGCTCCGAATACAGGAAATGCCTAAGCCTTCATTTCTTTTTTGACTACTGCCTCACGTGGTTTTTTCTGGTTTGCGGGGGTTTTTTTACCAAGTTTTTTAATGTTAACCAAGTTATCCTGCAATGTTTTAATTTAAATTTCAAGAAATGTTCTTTACTAAACCAATGTCCATCCATCTTAACTTTATTAGTGTAATATAGTTAGTTGACATTGTAGAAAAATGTATTGGATAAGGTAAATCAAACTAATGTATGTAAATATTGTAATCACAGTAGTTGTTTATTTATAAAATGGCACAATAAACCAAATACAAATTAATGTTATTGTCTATTCTTTTCCTAATCTAATTTTTATTTGATAAAACAAAACATATCGGATTAAATTCCCAGGTAAAAAGCTTCATATAATAAGATAAAGTACTATTATTAACATAACATCACGCCTTTTATCCCGAAAGAGGTAGGCAGAGGTGCACATTACTGCACTTAGTGCCACTGTACAATGTAACACCCACTTTTCACTATTTATGCTATGAGTCCCACGTAATAGGAGGCGAATCTATATCCATATATGGATTACATTTCTAGACTCCGTGCTACTAAATGTTTTTTTACAAAAAACCTATAGTATTTTGCCCGGCCAACGAGGCAGTCATTGTAATCGTAAAAGTAATGAATATTGTTATATCTAATCATGTACTAGCTTTTTACCCGCGACTTCGTACACGTGATATAGGAGTACACAATACAAACCGTCATGTATTAAAAAAAATGCATCAAAATCCGATGCATAGTTTTAAAGGTCTGAGCATACATAGTGACAGGCAGCGAAATGCGACTGTTTTTTATTTTTATTTGTTATTTGTTTAATAAACGTTGCCCCACACTAGGATTTTCTCCTGTGTCGTGGGTGCGTTTACAAACATACAAATTCACATACACAATATCATAGATCACACAAAGTGTTGTTCCGTGCGGGAATCGAACCCGCGACACGTTGCACGGCAGCCGGTTGCCGAGCCACCGCACCAACCGTGCGGTCAAACTATATTTCATAAGTCAGACTATATTTCATACTATGTAGTGTTAACATCATTTTGTGACTCACAGGGGTACCTAAAGTCATCGTCATCTTCCTCATGATGCACTTGTTACATCTTAAAAAACCCCGAAGAGTAACTCGCATATTATCTGCTATGTTATGAGTCCCATGTTATATACAGATTGCTGAACGTTTGGTCATAAGAGAAAATTTCAGACTCCGTGCTATTATTGAGAGATTTTAGATTTTTCTAACAATCTCCCGAAGTTAACTAAAATCGCAGGTTACTCACGAGAATATACTGAAAAAAGCTCTACTAGTTTCGAACCACAGAGGGGTTCTTCCTCATGAGCAGCGTGCGCGACATTGCCGTAGTCGTAGTTAATTTAGTATGTCTCACGATAGTTATTATAAAATCTCCCGAAGCCTTAGTATAGTGGCATTAAGTGCCGTATTGTGCACCTCTGCCTACCCCTTCGGGGATAAAAGGCATGATGTTTTGTTTAGCAATTACAATTCAAAGAATTTGATAAAATCATGTCATAGTACGCCTAATTCTTTCTTTAATATCTAGTTATGAGATTATACTATGCGTAATAACCCCTACGATATGGAAATTGTGTGTAATAGGTGTATTATGGTAATGCAATGCCGACCGGAAACTTTGTAATTTCATAGATTTTGTTTTACTCCAATTTGAATGAGTAATTTCATGCGACATTTCCAAAGGAATTAGTCACCACGTAGTGATTATATTACGTTTTAATTTCACATGTAATTTCACATAGTGACGTTAAGTGTTGTCGGATATAGATACGGGTACAAAATTATTCGTATCTACGATGTTATACTAGGTAGAATTAATGATACTGGTATCGGTTTTGGTTATAAATATAAAATAATTATTTCGGAGTTACTAAGGCCAACTTCTCGAAGTATAAATTTATTCTATCTTCAGTATATTCTGGGTACACATCAAAATCCTATAAATACCCACTGCTGAGCAAAGCCACTTCTCAAATGGAGCAGGTTTGAGTATTAATCACCATGCTTGCTCCATGCGAGTTGGCGATTTCAAACTTATAATTAGAAATTATAGGCCTAGGTTTCCTCACGATGTTATCCTTCAATGTTTGTCAGTGGTGACTAAATAATCTCAGAAAGTACATAAAGTTACATTGGTACTTGCCGTTGGTAGGTTTCAAACCCGCACCCTCATACATGCATGAAAAGCAGGCGTCTCAAACCACGACACGATTCTGGGTACAATATGAAAAAATGTGAAACTAAGAATGTCGTGGTGACCCGTAGGTTCAGGTGCTCGACTCTCGTGCATTAGTGTGCGGGTTCGTAACCCAGCAAGTACCGATATGACTTTTTCCGAGTTACCTATATGTACTATCTAAGAGTATTTAGACACCACTGACAGACGGTGAAGGCAAACATTGTGAGGAAACCTGGACATACAATTTCATATTATAAGTTTGACATCGCCAATCCACCTTGAGCAAGCGTGATTAATGCTCTAACCTTCTCCTTGTGAGAAGATGCCTTTGCTCAGCAGTGGGCTCTTATAGGCTGATGATGATGAAAAAATCTTCCTAATATAAAAAAATACACACTGTCGTAATGAATAGCTCCTCTTTTTTAGAATCGGTTTAAAAACAAATCATGACATTTTAACATTTTTTCAACTTCGATTTATTTCAAAACTTTTCAATCGGTTCCATTTTGTTATTTATTGGATATCAATCAATATATCATGGATAGAACACATGGTATATCGATATTCGGTTACAGTTACGGTACTATGTAACATCACTATTATGGATGTGGATATTAATTTCGTATGTAGATGAGTAGGCAATATTAGGTCACACACATGAAGTATTAGGTATCAAATAAGTTCTATTTCTAGGATTTAGTAATTTGAGCCTTTCTTGAGTAATTTAGATTCTATTTGATTTGGCCTTTCCAAGAAAATCTGAAATTTAGCTTTAAGTTTGCTACATTGTTATTGCTAAATATTGTGATGTCGGAGGGAACGGAGTGGAATCACACGACTGGAGGTTTGCACTTACACTTACTTAAACTTAAATTATGGTATATTTATGATAAACTATTTAAACCAAAAATAATCTGTCACAACGTCGTGTAGTGTATTTGTAAAATCTATTATTTTACTACTTTATTCATGCGTTGTTTAATACGAATACCCAATAATCCGCAAATTCCTAATCCCCAAAAGGCCGGTAACACACTTGTAACGCCTCTGGTGTTTCAGGTGTCCATGGGCGACGCCGATTGCTTACCATCAGGTGATCCGTCTGCTCGTTAACCGGCTTATCCCATAAAAAAATAAGTGAATTTATTTCTGCTAATCTATCTAATAGGCTGCTAATCTAATAGGCTAAACGCACTTTTACACGTCAATTTAATCAAGCGAACGATAAGGTTTTGTCTTCTACTAGATACTGTTTGTTGTCCTTAATAATTAATAATAATGAATAAAATTACAGTGACTTGTACATTACATGTAATACTTATTTGCTAGTTACTTTTCAATTCCTAGTTAACAATTCCAAATTCCGAGTTACGGCAGGGAATTTGATTAGTTGCCAGCTTTGACGATGAGTAATAATTTCAAGAACAAGGAATATATTACTTTGATCCTTCGGGGACCAAACTACATTACTTGACAGTTGACTTGTGACTTGTAACCACTGAGCAACAACTTTTTAAACTCATTTCTTTTAGAAGCGAAGCGTTTAAGTGTTCCAATTTAATTTAGGTTAAAACCTTTTATATTTGTTGTTAATTTTCTCAAAGTCAAAGTGCCCTGGAAGAAAGCGAGCAATTGTATTCCGAATATATATATT